AAGCATCATTAGCACAGTCAAAAGGTTTAGGGTACCATTAAAAGCTTGGAACCAACCGCTAACTTGAACATCCAGCTCACATTGAATTGAAGCAGACCCCGTGTTTTCGTCTTTCCTCATCTTACAGCACTGGAATTTAACATTTCCCTCAAAGGAGCTCCATAAAAAGTTTTCAATCATTGCAACACACACAACATTCTTATCTGATGGTTCACCTGAGTTTATCTGTGTCATACTCAGAAGTGCTCTTCCAACTACCTTGTTTTGATAGGATGATTTCAAGTTCGCAAGGCATCCGCTTGGTTGATCTTTCAATAACACATCCATACTTCTTGTTTGGTATTTAAGGAGGCCCATGGATAAAATGTCATAGTCATAGGACATAGACAACATTGGCTCGCTGATCAAACTCGCCCAAACCCATCTATTTGGGAGAAACTCGTTTTCTGACTCTAATGGACGGTAGCTGTCGTTACTGAACTTCAAATCTAAGTATATTATTCTAACACCCTTCTCGGAAGCCTCAACGCGGAATTCGGATGCAGTCCCTTTTCCAACCGGTAAGACCTTGCACTGAGCCTCACTGTAGTTCCCTAGCTTGGCTTTACAAGAAGAGAGAAAGAAAAGAAGCACAGAGAAAAAACCGATAAACTCCACGGCCATGTTCTGCTTACAATCACACGCTAATCCGTCGAGTTACTGTAAAAAGAACGAAAATCATAGCACAAGTAAGTTTTATTCACGCAGTGTTTAATGTGAAAATACAGTATTTCAACTGTATTTCAGAGTCGTAATCATGAAGTGTCCAACTTAAATAAATATAATCACTGTTTACATAAGGGCTTACATAAACATGTAGTAGACAACCTTCAGCAAAACGTTTTGATTTCATATCCTGCCAAAAAGGAATCTTGCGAGTGAATCAATCGACTCCTATTGAATGTTATCGATAAACCGTCGAGAGCTTTCTTTTTGTTTCTGCGAGGGCTCCTCGTAGCACAAAGACAACTTCAAAACCAAGTATACTATTCTAACACCTTTCTCGGAAGCCTTAACGCGGTATTCGGACGCAGTCCCTTCTCCAGCCAGTAAGACATGGCACTGAGCCTCACTGAAGTTCTCCGGCTTGGCGTGACAAGAAGAGAGAAAGAAAAGGAACACAGAGAGAGGGGCGATAAACTCCACGGCCATGTTCTGCTTACAATCACAAGCTAATCCAAGCTATCTGCTTTGTTGTCTGTTGGGGGACTTCGCTTCATTATTCCTGTACCATATTTTGGGTAAAAAATGAATAATTCATTTTTTATCCAAAATACGGGCCGTATAGAAACTGTAAAGAGAATGGAAATCATAGCAAAAATATTTCATTGAAGCAGGATTTAATGTGAAAATACAATATTTCAACTGTATTTCAGAGTCGTAATCATGAAGTATTCAACTTTCGTAAGTATAATCACTGCTTATGGAAGGACTTACGTAAACATATAGTAGACAACCTTCAACACAACATTTTGACTTCATATTCTGATTTAATCGACTCCCATTGAATGTTATCGATAAAACGTTGAGAACTTTCTTTCAGTTTCTGCGAGGGCTCAATTTATTATCGCGTTACCAAGAGTTTCCATTTTTCTAATACGAAATTTGATAAGTAAATCCCGCAGCCCTAAATAAATGTAGTTGATAAATTTGATACACCACACTTGGCAATTCCTTTTTCACTTTCGATGCTATTCGCCATCTAAGACACGGCTTTTTTTTAACCCATACATCGTTAGTTGATAACATTACTTTGCTGTCAAAAAACTTACCTCTTCTTTTTCCTTCCCTGAATTCGAAGTGAATAGCCCAGTTATATTTGGAAACGGATTTGTAGGCGGTTTCGAAATATAAAGATGGTAAGTTTCCAAAGAAACTGTGATGCTGCGTCGGTGGGAGAGTATACAAGGGTATATTAGTATTATCAGCTGAGTTGATAACGAAAATGGCCACCTAAAAGAGTTTAAAAGCTGACGTCACGAGTGTTAGCCCTTCGTCAGAGCGATAGGTTTCAAATTATACTTTGTCAGCGTCTTTGATGTATGCTTCGTAAGCGTTTTTAATGCTGGGAAAAAATACGCTGGTGTCTCGAAAACGAAAACAAACGTAACTCAAGATTTACGCCGTGTAAAACTGCTTTTATAAAAGACATCTCAAAAATAATTAATTCAACAAATGAAGATTAAGCGACAATACAAATTAAACACACTTAACATCGACAAATGAGAGCGCGGGCGCAATCTTAAATATTTTATAACAACAGGATGCTATTGTTCTGAGGAAAGTACTTTTCCCTAATTGAAGCCTCTCTGCCGAATTTAAAGCTGAAATCTAAAGATGACGTTAATATCAAATAGACCAATAAATAGATAAATAAATGAACCGAGGCGGCCGAAGCGAAAAAGAGGGGACACCACAAATAATTAACCTGTTAAGTATCATAAAGCAACCAATGCTAAGCGCGTATCTTAAATATATGTCCATGCACGTTAAGGCTTTGGTTTTCACTTAGTTGCTTGAATTGAACATAAATGGAATGGCTCGATAAAAAAGGCAATTTTACAATTTAAAAATACTCTATTTTAAAAGAATGGCTTCAGGATGTTTATTCTTGGAGGACCACCCAACAAAAAATATCCTGTTCCTAGTGAGAGAACAACGCGATAGTGGTGGCGGAGCAAAAAAGTGGGGAAAGTTTACGTCGGCGCGTAACGTTGGAACAGCGTTTTTTAGGCAGCTTGATCCACCACTATCACTCTGTTCCGTAACCTGTTTCGTTTTAGCGACTGAACGCCTGATCTTTTCTGAATCATTTGCGGTAGCGATTCAGAATCTGAGCGAAGAGTTTTGCCGGTTATGAATGAGATCATGCGTAAACTTCGAAACATGGGTCTTATTTTAGTCTTTTTATTTGTGTCTTGGTGTTCCATAATATTTCTAAGGAAGACATAAATTTCGTCGGTAGTCTCCACAACAGCTCTATTTGTTAGCGGGGTGATAACTAGATTGTTGTTTTAGGGATTAACTAAAAAGAACGATTTAACGGTCTAACCAAGAGACAAAAGTTGACAAAAATTGAAAATGCAGTCAAACATAACATCGAAAGTAAGAAAACGTAGACTAATGGGGAGAAAGTAGTGTTATATAAGGGAAAAACACCCATATGGTGGTTTTCTCTAGTTTCATTACGCCTCTGCCAGACAGTTAAAAGAATTGTTAGAACAATTCGCAAACTACACTGTAATCCTTTCTGAAAGAATATGGAATAATCTTGCCCATCTTCAACCATTCTCATGCCCTATTAGTTTAATATAATCTATTCCGTGGTCCTATACCCGATCTATAATGCATCTGATCGTAGTTTATGAGGGTAAGTGAGTGATGGGTTCTTGAATAAACTGATCTACTGTGTATACTAATTTGTAGAAAATTTAAGGCAATATCTCACAAACAATTGATGATCGTTTACTGATTATTATTTAGAGCAAATCAAAGTACTTGTCTTATTACTCCTACCCTCCTTACGGAGTGTAGATAAAAAAATCTCTTTAAATTAAATCTGTTATAATTTAAATTAATATACAGATGTTCCTTTGATTCATGAATTTAAAAGAACCAAAGGCCAAATATGGTAATTTGCTTCACAGCATCGCACTATAGACTCGAGAGAGAATTCAGATGTACTATTCAGGTGTCTGTTACTATCACTACCACTTAAGCTGGTTACCCTAATCCTGGAGGACTCCCATCCCCCGAATAAGACACAAACTTCTTTAATGGTAACTTTTGATTTTTAAAAGTGTAAGTGCGAACTATCTGAAGATAGCTCTACGTTAATGCATCGGAAATGAAAAATGAAAGTGCAGTTCACACTGAATTAAGCAAAGCTCGAGTACGGTAAGTGCACTTGAAATCTCGAAACATCTCAAATGATCATGCGTGGCATCATACATTTATATTACATTAACACGCTTCTCCATGATCAATCAAGACTACATCCGCAATGGGCTTCAGCGATTCCTTGTGACTCGGAAGGTTTTCACACACATTAACGTATCAATAGTACCTTTGTGTTATATCCTTCTGTCTATTCATGTGTTCATCGAAAGCCAATCAGAACTATCTAACTTCCTCACTACAAATGAAGTATAGTGATAATTAACCATATATGCTAGCCTTGGAAAACTTCGGTTTACCCACTATGACATGTAATTCGCTGAATAAAGGCTGTTCTTTTGGTGGCCTAGACTGTTCAGATATTAATAAGAGTTACACTAAAAAGTACTAATTTGAAGGAAATTTGGACATCTTGAGGTATGTTTTCTCTAAAATGAATGTTCACTGCACATGTTCACAAGCACGAAGAACTGCAGCTGCGTATTGCCGTCTCTTCTCCTCGGTTCTTTCCACTTCAGGATATCCATAAGCAAGTTTGTCCATATTGATCAGCTCTTTCACCGTCTCCACAGTTGGCTGTGCTCCATCGACAATGCTTTTCACCGTCTCTTTTAAAGCAAACGTCAATTTTCCCTCCAAAGCTTTCTTGATTGGCTGATTATCAGCATGAAGGATCTGCAGCTCGCATTGAAGTTGTTTAATAGCTTTCCGAGCCATTTCCTTCGTTCTTTTCATTTCTGCTTCGACAACATCGACGTCCTAAAGAAAAAACATATTCGTCATGTGCTGTGTGCCAAAAAACTTGGGATTTTTTCCACCCTAATTGCTGCAAACATCTTTTGACTTCTGCGTCATTTTTAAATTCGAGGAAATTTAATATCCTACTCAAAAATGCCAAAAACCAGATACTTCTGTAACTTAAATTTGCATTAAATCTTCAAAATGAGTATTTTCCTTTTTGCATGGTAGTGTTTTTTACATAATTCTTTCACCGAAATAGCTGAATTATTTCCTTAACCCTATATTTTTTTCAAGCGTCTTCTCCATTCTCTGATATACATCAAGTTTCATTTCCGCTATTTTAAGATGTTAACAGGCAAATCTTTGTATGCCTGGCAAGGCCATACAAACTCGAGCAAATCTCAAAGCTTTTTACAACTATCCATACTTTCTAGTTAAATCGCATAGTCGAAATTCTTAATTTTCGAGTTTTCAATCTACGGCAGCTATTTAAATGAGGCATATTACCTTCCAGACATTTACCTTCAAGTCACTGAAGTGAAATTGAGAGACGTTCTCAATTGTTAAGGTTAGAAACCCTTGTAGGCCCTGTACGGACGGCCACAGCGCCGCAGTTATCGGTAAGTAATCAAAATAATCTTCTTCTAGGGGAACAAGACTGGCATGTAACTCCCACTTCCAGGGAAAAGGATGACTTGTTGCTGAAAAATTAGTTGGTAAATAAGCTGACATATCAGAAAAAAAAGGCACGGAGTCCCTCTATCAATGAGACATAAATGTAGAATGGAGAAGGTAGTTGGGGCAGAGGCGAACTGTCTATCACAATCGCTCCTTCTGCCTCGCAATAGACAGCGCATGACACAACAAACTCGATACAATCCCTATTTTCGCCCCGTTTTCATGATGGCACCTACTTTATGAAATACTTTCCCGAAGAAGTGTACCGGTTTTATGTTTCAAAGCTGCCTTAAAAGCACTTTATTTCGGAAGTGTTTCCTTTAATCCATGAGAATTTTTTAAAGGTTTTTACCTCTTCTTCTACAAACACAACAGTACGTCGGGGTTTACTTACATGGTTCCACATATTTATTCATCTTAATCCAGTCGAACCCTGGGCTTTCGTTGGACAATACAATTCTTGGTACCAGCCTCTTCTCCAGCAACATCTTGTAAAACGCAGCCCAAAGTTCGTCGGTGACGTAATCATGTCCATTTGTATGCAATCCGTACACGTACAAACCAGCTTCAAAGAGTTTCACCTCGACATTCTCGATTTCCTCTCTGCGACCCTTCTCCTCCTTATACACAGTCAAGATCCTGTTGTCTACCGACAGAGCACAAATGACAGGTTTCTCGGAGTGGAAGCCGTTGGGAGCGTAACAACCTTGAAATTGGAAATGTAGAAAAGGTAACATTACCCCTAAAAAGCCCCGATTTCATTATCCCCTCCTCCTGTAAATGGTTAGTGTATCAAGGTAACCCCCTGTCGAAAGTGATTAAAAAATCATATCCATTATAATCTGGAAATGTGCTTTTTTCGCTTTTCACATCTCCGCTGATCTATTAAACCGGGTTTCTTGGGGATTTCGGATTTAGAACTGTCAGTTCTTTCTACTCTAAATGAACTTCACTCTAGATTTTATTGTCCTAGTTTAGCCAATAATCAAATAAAAGAACTGCTCTTTTTCTACACAGAAGTGCTTACAAAAACAACTTGAAGCAAGACCCTAGAGCCTCATTAATATTTCTAATGCTTCATAGCTATCTTTAAAATACCTGGAATTTTCTCTGAACAAAGCTTCACTTGTTCCAAGAATCGATTTTGCCATACTGCAACAAACTTCCTTTCTTCCGATACTTCAGGAGTCTGGTTAAAAGTATTGACAAACCTTTGCGCATCAGTACAAGGTAGGCATTAAGAAAGCTAATTTTAAGCTGCAAAAAAATAAAACTGTACGACTCTTACAATGGTTGCTCACCCTATCGCTGGAACTCTTGAAACGTTTTCCAATCCGCTTGCGGTGTTGTTGTTCCAAGCGCATCAGTCTCTCTACTCGCCTGTCTAAGTCATCTAATTGAAATTGTTGAGAATTAATTTGTTTAACTTTTTCCTTTACAGCAGCAGCCTGTTCCTCCATCTCTTTCAAAGAATCTTGGAAACCAAAAAGATCTTTCGTACAAACTTCTTTCCCGTTCACCTTAACGGCAGGAACAAGATACATAGAGAGGATGTCCTTCCATTCATACCAAAGACGTCTAAGAACTTCTGTTAATTTCTTGGTATGTAATCTTTCACTCGGTGACTCACGCCTACTGAGGTAACAAGGCAGTTCAACTGCAGGTGAGGACCATAGATCTAGCTCAGCTTTCCTCTCTTGGTTGTATCCAGCAGCTTGAAACTGAGACATGAGAGACTGATTATTTGGAAGGGATAAAATGCGTTCTTGAATTTTACTGTGTACGTTCTCCAGAAAAAAAGAATTGCTGTCTGAAGGGGGGTCTGAGAACAGAGTCTCTACAATTTCCAGAGTGTGAAAGGCAAGGACTGGTTTAGTGATGATACCAGACAGCCATCGCCGCAACAAAACTAACGTTGGTTCATAAATGTCTTTATGACTTAGGACGAAAGGAAGGTTTTCATGGAGGTACGATGTCTGCCTCGAAACACATTTTACCACTTTGAGTTCTCCTTCGCCTCTTTGGGGCGTCAAGGCACTATCTTGAATAATTTCTTTTCCATCTTCCCCGCTGCGTCGCTTTCCAAAGATTTCTGTAAAGAGGGACTTCAGCTTCAGGCCATGAATTTTGTAGAGATCGTTTCTTTTTGTACCTCTATCCTCGTGGCTCCTGCAAAGCTCCCTACAGGCGTCCAAAACTATGTCTCTGACGACAGCATCTTTAGAGTTTTCTTCGGGCTTTCGACCTCTCAGTATGTTTATGAACTCGCCAAGCAATCGAGCCAATCGAACGCATTCTTTGATCTTCCCTTGTTTGATGCCCTCTCCGTTTTTTACTTCAAAGCCTTCTTGTGGAAAGATGATTTGGGCAATGACTTGTGACGCAGATGCAACGAGCTGCAAGGAGCGAGAACTGAGGTCAACAATCGCATCGACATCGCGTGATGTCAAATCTTCCAACGGCGTC